CCACAAAGTCAAAGACTAACAGAAGAATAAAACACATCACTCCTATCTGTAAGCTGCAGAAAACGTTTCTAAAGGGGCGAGGTAAGAAGAAAGATCACCTGCTACAGTGTAGAGAGCAGTGACTGACAGCAGCAAGATCACAGCCAGGTAGAGGTTCCATTTCAAAGCCAGCTGAATGAAAAGTGCACCCGCGTACATGTCCACCTACACAGAAACACACACATGGGACACATATGTTGCAGATAAAAGGTAAAAGAAAACAACATGCAACACACACGTATTTGGATTAACATAGTGTAAAGATGATAGTGGGTTTGTGTCATACCGATATCTTTGTGAAAATGTAGATAAATAAGGACAAAACGGTTATAAATAACTGCGTTCTTCTGCCACCAAACCGCCTCTGCAAATACTCTGGCATGGTTGTAACCTGGAGGAGGAAATAAAGTCAAAGAATGATTAAAAAAAAGGTTTGAGTGAACAAAAGGATTCATGTGCACAGGTGTGATATTTCATGTATTCAAGCTCTACCCCAGACGCGATGTAAATGGGCAGGAAGAGCCACCCCAGCAGCAGCACCATCAGCATACCCTGTGGAGGATCAAATACCAACATTAGAGTCTATACTTAAATTTTTTTATAAAATATATTAGCAGGTGTTTAGGGCATATATAAGCCGTAAATAGCTTACATTCCACTCATATGCAATAGCTCCAATTCCTGCAGCAGCTCCTGACCCTGCAAGGCCGATGAAATGTCCACTGCCAATGTTACTGGCAAACAGCGAGGCACCCACCTAAATATAGATCAAAGAGTCAGAATAAGGAGATTTTTGAAGATATTAGAAACTCCAAGGGCATCGGTGTGGTCTTGTTGGGAGCTAATTAAATCAGTGCTTAAACTGAGCTTAAAACATACTTAAAGCTGAAAGTTTCTTGCTAAAATCCTGAATTTGATCCTGCCTATAAACCCCTCTATTTCAGCCCTGATCAGAACAGGCTGTTTCTGTGTCTGTACCTTTAAATATGTAAATGAGCGGTGTCTGACCACACCCCCTCTCTGGAAGGGCTTGGTGGGCTTTCTCGCTTCATGCCCTATTGTTTACGGTGAGAAGGCAGACTCAGAGGGCAGAACAAACACCTAGCTGTGGTAGTGTCACCCACCTGGGGGAGGGGTTACTGCCCTTTGTGATGTCATGAAGGGAAAAATCTCCAAACAGCCTGTTTGAGCACACATTTTCTGAAAAGTGGAGCAGGCAAAAGACAGAGAGGATGGACTTTTCTCATAATTGGGGGGGTTTGTAGACAGACTAGGGACACATATTAGTGTTAGAAAAACATGGTAAAGTGTATTTTGCATAATATTTGACCTTTAAATTTCAGCCACTAACTGTCTACACTGTGTTGTGTGACTCACCGGCCACCAGGTCATGCTCTTCCCAGCCAGGAAGTATCCATCCACCGTGCTGCGCTTTGTCCTGAACATGGACTGGCAGAAGAATGAGAAATCTTTAAAATAGACAACTTAAGGAAAAGATGTGCTTCAACATCTGTAATTAAGCACTGAACTAAAACGAACAAATACGCTTTCTTTGCCATCACTGTAACCTGCTAAAAAGAAAAAAATAATTGCATCCTGCCACATACTGAGTGATGTCACTCCCTGAACCCTGTGTTTGGAGCATTACAAACTCTAACTGTTTAGACCACATCAGCCTTGGTTATTAATTAAACTCAGATCCTTTCAAAAGGGTAAAAAAAATAATCCCAAAAAGGTTTAAAAAATCAAGATTCAAAGTTGTTGTTTTATCAGATAATGCTGACTCGCAGGTCGTAGATCAGTAATGGATTTTAAATGCATGTTCTGTAACTGGGGTCACCAGCTGAAAAGAGTTGTCTGTGTGTTATGTGTGTTATTAGTTTTCTCTGTTTTGAACACTGTCAACAAATTCTTTGAAAGTTTGTTTTGAGAAGTTCCATTAAAGATAGAAGAACGCTCATTCTCAAACTTCAAAGGTTGAAGAGAGGCGTCTTTAGAGCGTCAGAAGAAGAAGAAAAAGTTCATACAGACTTTTCCAGTGGAAGGACATAACTAGAATTTGCTTGGTATTGCAGAAGCTACAGGACAAAGAGGCAAAACTCAGTGTGGTACATTTTGATTTCAAGCCATTAACGCTTAACTCTCATTTACGGAGCTTATCATGTAAAAAAAATGATCTGTTAAAATATTGGAACACAGTTCTGTTTTCCTCTGTTGTACTCACCCAAAAGCCAACGGCCAGAATCAGCACAAAGTAGACAACCAGCACCACTATGTCCCAAGTATCCAGGGTAGCTGAGCCCCCTGTGGGGGGCGATGGAGAAGAGGACATGCTGGTTCTTTGTGGGCCATGTGTAGGGTCCATTCTGTCAACTGCTGTGTTGGTAGTAAACAACGTAAAGACACCTGTAACGCCCCCAAAGATAAAAATGTCATTTTTCAAAAATAACTTTAATACTGTTCTTTACCTCAAGTTTGAGGTACTTTGATCTTCTGTTGTTGTTGTCATGGCCGTGTTTCCCCCCTCTCTCTGTGTGCTCCTGTGTGTCTCCCTGTGTGTGTGTTTTGTGTGTTAGTCGTGTGGGCGACTCCCGGATCCCTGATAATTATGCACACCTGCCTAACCAGTTCACCTTGCTACCCTGCACTGCATCAAGACCTTCAGCCAGATCATCAGATATTCTCCATTCTAAGCTTACCACCACTCTGATTCTGTATTCCCTGAATCCTTGGAGCCGTCAACAATCATTCCAAGAGTCACTATAACATCCTGCCATGTCCTTGGCAGGGTGCTGGCCCAGCTCTTCTAAATGGGTCTTTAAAAGGCCACTAAAGTAATTGTGGTCATCATAGCTTCCAACAGCAGCACGAAGTTGACACCAGTACTGCCTGGTTCTGTCTGTGCTTCCTCCAAGCATCCTTCCTGATGCCTTGTCGGCCATTCCCATCAATGCAGATAAAGTTCCTGCTGCAGAAAAAGTCCCCTGTTTCTGCTGAACTGCCAAGTGTTTTTCCTGCTGCCGCAAAAATTCCGTTCTGGTGGGAAAATGTCCCCTTTTCCTGCAAAGCTGCAACTAGAGTCCCCTGTTCCTGCTGCAGAAATAATATTCCCCTTTTCCTGCAGAGTTATTGCAAAAGCCTATTTTCCCATGTAGCACTGCAGCTAAAGTCCTTACAATCCTGCCTCTAGGATCATTCCAGGTCTGACCTCCTGCCCATTTTGTGGCTCCAGCCAGTCATCCAAACCTGCCATGCCTTTCAATCTTTACTCCAATACTTCTTTATCTTCTTCCCGTCAGGATCTTGTATTCAGGTTCATTTTGCAACATGTTTTTTTAAACAAAGGAATATACCAAAACGTACATCTTGGATGTAATGCCAGCCAACTGTAATTCATGTAGATACAAATGTTCACACATTAAAATCAACTCCTACCTGATATTAACATACTGCTGACATCTGCAAGTAAGAGTCTGAGACACATGCTTAAATGACATTTTCCTATATGCCTGTTCAAAATCAAAAAATCTATGCTAATACTTTCAAGGAAATGCAGGAGATATGTTGTTACTGTTGTTATTTCAAGAGGACTGTTGACAGGCTGAATATTTTAATCTGGACTAAAAACTTCTCGTCTTTGTTGTGGTGTCACTAGCAAGCCAATAAAATGAGCCATAGTTGCCTTACAAATGATAAATCAGCAATTTAGAAACCAGTAGAAGCAATAACTCTCGGTGTATTTATTCTATCTATATGTGGTATCATCTGTCTGTTTGTCAATAAACTCACCATTCAGTCAGTCGTCCAGCCTCGAGGTGCTCTGAGCCAAACAAAGCAACGTGCCAGAAATTACAGCTGGACGATCATTCTCTCGAAGCTTCCTCCACTCGTCCTAAGATCAAACTCCACTTTTCCCCAAGAGTCTGGTTAAAATGTAAGGGATTTATGACTCTTAACTGAGACGTGTGTGAACAACACACTCGTGCTGCCAGTGGAAGAAATCAATGATTTCTGAACGAGTTTTAAATACCTTTCAATTACACATGAGCAGCAATATAACAATACTTATTGACTATAAAACAACAGCAGGGATAACTTCGTGTGGTTTTGTGTTTACGGAAGAGACTGGCTTATCTCATGAAAACAAATATTAATCTGAGATTTTACTGCACTATCAGATAAAGTGACTGCAGCAGGTGTGTACGCAGCAAAGCTAAAGATTTAGGAGTGATACAGATACCAGTATTGGAAATGCCTCTGATGCAAACTTTTATGAGGTAACAGAAACCAAATTCAGTATTATTTAGAAAACCTCCCAAAAAACAAACATCTTCTTCTTAAAAACAGTGTCCTACACAGCAATAGTTTTATAAATTATAATGGCAGCCCCAGAGTTGTAAAGAAGATTTAGTTTCAGGTGAATAATCATGCAACATGAGCAAAGAGCAGCACCTCAGTTAGTCTAAAATGTAGCATTTGTTAAACCTTGCAAAATGTCTGGAATTAAAGTTGTATGATCACCTGTTTCTGTATTATTTAAACTTGAAGTTGATGTCATTAAAACTGGTATAATCAAAGAGAAAATCAGTTTCAAACATAAAAGATTCTGAGGATTATCTGTGAGCCTTGCTGCAGCTTGGCTTTAGGTAAGGACATGCCATTATAAAATAATATGTACTACAGCCATACAAGGTAACGGTTATAAAGCACTTCACACTATCAAACTTGTTCTCAGTATTGTCCACAAATGAAATCTCGGCATCAGGATACCAAAAATAGGTATTCAAACACCCCAAAGAGAATGATGTTATAAAGCTGAGTAGCATGAAATATAGGAAATAAATCAAATCTATGCTCTCGCTTTGGTCTTTGATGTCCTGTAAATGTTTATCACTCGATTAGTGTTTATTTCATTGTGAGACTAAGCGTCTTCCTGTATGATATAAACACAGACACCCGGGAACATCAGATGTTACACCACTCTTTATAGTTGTCAGCATTGTTAGGATACAATACAAAATACAGACTTAACACTTTATAGGCATTAATTGGACAGCAACGCTTAAGAGGTTTACATTCAGTAATTTAAGCTGGAAAAAAAAAAAATCTAACTGGGTACATTGTTTTTATCATTAGAATGTATTTACCCGTTCAACAACATCACCTGAAGCGTAGTGTTTGACTCAGCAACATAAACGACTGCTCTGCTACGCTAAACTTAAAGGAGATGTGTCAGTCCATTTTACACACAGGATGAAGTGCTTCATACAGTATTTTATGGAGCAGCTGTATCTGTTTTCTTTAAATCAACTCTCTGTCTGTACAGTGCAAAAGGATTAATGTCTGCTATACTTTAGATAGAATAATATCTAACAGTGGAACACAGCTTAACACATATTGCACGCTGCCCGCTGTTAGCTCCACGTGATCTCACTTCTGCTTCCTGTAAATGTTGTGATGATGACTTTGTATGAGTCAAGAATGATCCTTAAACCGTTACAATGATGTTTTATAAAAACAGGTGCCAAGATCCCCACTATACATCGTCTCATACATACATGTTACTAGTATCAGAAGGTAAGTATCAGAATACAGAATAACAGCATTAAAAAAAGAGTTAGGATGGCTATAACCGGCATGGGAGGAATTCTGAGGCTCTTACACCAAGGCATAAATATAATGCAGTAAATTAAAAAGAACTATTAGAGAACATAGGCTACACTTAGTCAGAAGTTATGTTACATTCAGTGTGGTGGGCAGCTTACAAAAATATAGCACATGTCAGCTAAGAGAAGGGGATTCTTCCAAACCTTCAAGTGCAGATAAATAGGAGTCCGTTCAAAATGGGATTTTTTTTTTCAGATGGCAGCTGATTTTTAAAAGGTAAAAAGAAAACATTTTTAAAAACAACAGATACTGAAAAAGTAAGTGTTGAAATAGAAGTAGACTCTTTTCTTACGATTGCGCACAATTCAGCTCTGCACATTCACTCCGGGAGCTGCTCTTTATTCAGCAGTTAACTTTTTAATAGGAGTTGGTAACACTTTAAATGAAGGTCACAATATTCACCACTGACTAGTTTCTAATTAGCATGCTAATTAGTAGCATACTGGCTGCTTATTAGTACCTTATTCTACATGACCATAGTCTATAACTCATAGTTCATTAACTAAGAGTTTTCACTCAATTCACTCATTCTAATGAGTTAAAGAGCTAGCATTAGCACTTAGCAGGGAGTGACTGATTAGCCAAAAAATAATACATTGATTTTTGGAGGTTATGAACGTATTTGAAATCTCAGGAGATAAGAATCTCAGTTTTTACATAATTCGATTTTTTTCCCACACCTCTAATTTTAAAATTATAATTCATGTTCAACAACTTCCTGACTTACTATCTATAATCAGTAATTAGGATGGTAAACTCTTAGTTAATGATCTGTTAGCTTTAGACTCTGGTCATGTAGAATAAGGTACTAATGAGCGCTTAATAATGACAAATAAGCAGCCAGTATGCTACTAATTAGCATTCTAATAAGCAGCTAGTTAAGGGTGAAATTGTGTCCTTCATGTAAAGTGTGACCAAACATTTAACATTATAATAGAATATGAATTAAGTCTAGTGCAGATCAGCATCATGCTGCTCAGAAGTCATGCTGCAGACAGCACTTGAAGTATTGTAAACAGTTACATCAGAAATAGGCGTGATGATGTACGTTTTTTTTTTTATCCACCCCTAGCATCGTTTTCTGCATGTTTGATAAAAAAAATCATATTTGCTTTTAAAGGAAAACACATGTGCAGATACAGATATAACATGATAGGCCAGGCTCTAATGTGAACGATGTGAATTAAATATCTATTTCAGGATAAAGTTAGTTTATTTTGATATATATATTTCTTATTCTTAAATATAAATAAAACGACTGAACTCTTACAGAAAGAAAACTTAAAGGATGTTGCAGAGTCACTATGTCTCACTTGGTAAAGGTACGTTAACAGCCAGTTTCTTTTTATGTATTTGTCTTAAATATTTAAGTTTAAGACTTCCAAAAAGACTCAGTTTCATCTTGAGAGAATAAACAGAACATGTAAAACCACTGATATAAAGCTAACTGTTTATCTTTGATGCAGAAGGCTCTGCCTTCATTTTGATCAAAAAAACAATAACCAGTCTTTTTTTGCTCAAATGGTGCGCTGAGTTTCAGGTGTGAATGGTTGCATGTATATACAGTATATTTGCATACAGTCTGTCCGATGAAGGAGCCATGTTGTCGTCTCCATATATGTGTTACCAAGCCAAGGGGGAGGCCATTCGTGGACTTCTGGGGCTCTTTTGGTTTTCTGCAGCTTGCCGCTCAGCGAGGGCTCTCTGTGCAAAAGACAAAAAAATAATATATAGGTTTTTACATATGCATTACGGGAAATGTCTGAAGAATGTTTCTGCCCCTAAAATCCTCCTGATCTGGGTGTTCACACATGCAGCTCACACAGGAGATTATACGTGTCAGACAGGGGGGGTTGGGGGGCCTCCTGAAGCAAGACATGATGTAAAAGTGACATGCTGAAGTGGCAGACAACATGGCAATTTAAATTAATGCTATGTGCAGTTCAACAGAATCACAAGATAAACAGGGTGCAGGATAACCTAGTGGTTACACTGCAAGCCTCATGTACAGAGGCTAAAGTGCTCATGACAGTGGCACTCTCTCATCCCAACATTTATTCTCTCTCCTCCAATAAAGGCACCCAAAAATATCTTAAAACGAACAAAGAAAAAGCAAAAGAGGGGAGAAGAACATGCTTGCAGGGGAAAACATAATGCAGCCGTTTAATCTCGTGCACAGAGATCGCATTGATTGCGTGCATACAGTCTATGGTCATGCACCGATCGCAGGGAATAAAGGTCACCCCTCCTATTCGCTTGAGGTGAAATCTCCTGATTAAATCGTGCTGCGTTCTCCGGTCAGCTCACTTGAACTTTCAGCATAATAACTCTCGGGGGCTCTCATAAAGTCAGTGTGTTTTGATCACACATGCAGCTCAGCTGAAAGTGTGATCAAGACTTCTGTGAGTCAATATAATGCTATCAGTTAAATGGTTTTTAGTAGCGCTTCTGAAATTAACTATTTTGTTTGATCAATTATTGATTTATGGTTAATTAAAGCTTAATTTTAACATTTTATAATGTGTTTTTATTTCATGTTTTTATATTAGCTTTGGAAAATAAAGATATCACTCTAAAACAATTTAATTATAAAACCTGAATTAAATCTGAATTTATTTCTATGAAACATATAAATGCTTGATCATTAGATCAGTACTTTTTGAATGTCAGTTTGTTAAAGATGCTTGGAAACAACTTCTGAATGTGAACTATAAATGAATGAATGAATCTGAATGTTGAGCTCATTCTTAGCTGTTCAATTATTAAAAAAGGCTTTCTGACAACAATAACAAGACGCTGAAGTCTGCAAGGCTGCAACACAGAACCCACACAGTGATTCTGTTTGGCCTTGTTGAAATGCAAGCTGTGCTCATTAGACACTGCACAAGCTTTCTAAAAACAAAAACTCCAGCAAAGTAGAATATCTAGAAAATAATGAGGTAATCATCAGACAAATTAAGTGTTTATCTGCAGCCAGTGAAGTTGTTTAGTCAAACAGTTGTGTTGAATAATTTGGGCTGAGAGAGAGTCATGGAGGATGAGATGCAAACAGCTCTGACTATCACAATGCAGACGTTACAGCTTGAGTGAATCAATCTTTCCCGCTCACCTCAAACTTGCCCATGAACTCCCCAAAGATCCCAAAGAAAGCCTCCGTGTTGGTGGAGTTTCCGTCTTCTCCGAAGAAAGAGGCAGTTTTGCTGAATTCTTCCATCGCTCTCTGTTGCAGGGACTCCAGAGACTGCACCGCTGGATGACTGTTCTCCAGAAAGTTCTACGCATACTGGAGTCAAGGGAAACAAGATTTACATCATATCGACTACAATTTCATTGTTTCTTATTCTTTTGTGCAGGATACACTCATGACGGCAGCGAAGCGGTCCTCAGCTGTCGTGGGCATTTTCTGACAGGCTGAGCGAATATCCTGAAGAGTTGTTTGAAGGTCGTTCAGATCGGATGTGATAGTCCTCTGGTTGACTGTACAAAGACAAAAACATGACAATAAATATGAATCTTGATTATGTTCATTCTTAGCTATTCAAATGGTATGAAACAGAGGTCGAAGGAAAGTGTATTTACCTTTGGCTGCAAGAGGAACCATGGTTAAATCTTTGGAGAAATCCAACACTTCAGGAAAGTGTTGACATAACGACTTGACCAGAATATGTAGAAACGTTGACTTCCCATCCACTGTCTTAGTTGTGCTCAACTGCAGAAGACACAATAAGTCAAGAAGGAACAAAGACATCTTGTTATGGATATCTGTGAGACTTACCTCTGTGAGGAAGTTGATCTTGAAGCCTGTGGTCTTGTTGGTTTTAGGCTGGCTGTTGTTCAGGTAGTTCCCCATCGCCAACACAAACTAAGGAAAGACGTAACGCAGCATTCAAATGAAGTCATGCTGTGCGTCTTACTCATGGACTGTTTAAAAGATGATTGGGATCAAATGGCCTAGCGGTTATGTTGTGTGCCCCATGTACGGAGACTTATAGTCCTCGTTGCAGCAGCCGAGGGATCAAATACGACCTCAACCCTTTCCTGCATGTCATCCTCCACTCGCTCCTCCCAACATTACATATCTCTCTTCAGCTGTCCTAGCCAACACAAAATGAACATTATACTGTATTAAAGAATATCTGACACTAGAAATTAAAAAAATTAGCTCATTTTGAAAACGTGTCCTTAGGAAATATGTCTATACAATCTCACTTCTTTGGCACTCAGTGGAGTCGCACCCTGCTGGCCATTTGAAAGATTACAGGTTTTTTGTCACTTCCTGACTGTCTTCACTTACAGACGCAGATGCTACATCCACTTCTTTTTCAATTTAAGGTCCAATTTAAATCCAAGGAGAACTTTACCAACTCTTTGATTGATTTTACAGATTGTCATACAAAAAACACTATCAACCAGGTGAAACTGTTTTTTTGTCCAATAAGTCAAATCTAAATCACAAAGAATTGTGAAAGCCTCATCCTCATAGCATGTATATATTTGTTTGTATGTGCTTGTGCTTTACAAAAGGCTACCTCGAGTATCTTAGCCAGCTTCTTGCTTGACTTTAGCTCCAGTGAAGCCTTGTAGAGACAGTCGTACGCTCCCCTCAACTCCTCCGTCTTCTCCTGCAAGGAACACTTGAAGAGGAGGCTCTCTAGGCGGGTCTTGTACTCGGGCACTGACAACATCTGATGTAGAACACACACAAGACGCAAAAAGAACTTGGTAAACACAAAAAAAACAAAAAGACACAGCAGGTATTCCACAGTTTACTGGCTGACTGTACCTGCAACACAAACTGGTCGGGCTCGCTGAGTTTGCTCGGGTTCTGTCTGTACTCTTCATACTTTTTGACCTCCTCTGCATCTGGGGCATACAGCAGCAGCTGCTTGATGTGGGCCGGCTCAAGCCTATCAGTGGCCATGTTCATCAGCACCTGACGCAGCTCCCCTGGAGAGAGCTTCAGGTGGGCTATCAGGATGGCTAAAGGTTAAAAGAAAATAAATAATGCATTCATAATCATAAACCAGCGATTCCTCTGGGATGAGAGGAAAAAAGTATCAACATAGTCACATAGTCACTTACAGGCATTGTAGGCCTTCTTATGGGACAGAATTTCAACGACATCTTTCTTCTTGAAGGTTTCTAGCGGGGGCAGCTCCAGAGTAGGCACTTAAAACGAGTGTTAATGAAATTCCAGGATGCAGGTACATAGTAGACAGCACAGAAGAGAAAATGATGAGGATGTTGTTCAATTTAACGTACATTTTATTTATGAGGAATAAAATGTGAATAAATCTTGTGTTATGTTGTTTCATGTTACTGATTGTTGTTTATTTTAAACACCGCTTAATCAAAGGTCCAACTAGGGACCAGAATTGGAAATAAGTGAAAGCTATAAACTGTCTGTATGTTAAAATGCATCATTCCTATTCAATAAAAACAAATTCAATTTAATTTAGTTCAGTTTAAATCTATTTATTTATCCCTTTATGACAAGACAACGGAATTCCATAAATTGGGAAACATATTTTTTCCTCTAGAAATAGCAGAACTTGAATATGGGGGAGTATTTTGGTTTAGCTATTGTTTTGGTACATCTGGCTGACTCTGAATTCTCATTGTGACTCTAATAACTTTAAATAGTCACACTCCAGGAATAAGGAGATCAAAGAACCTGGTTGATAAAATGCACAAACATACTGATACAAGGTTCATCCTGTCAAATCATTTAAAATTAAAATACTCGATATACTGTGCATATGAGAGAGGCTTACTGAGAGTTTTAATGTAATGATGTAATGAAACACTGCAGACAGCCACTTATACTAACTTGAGCTCTTCTGTGTCCCAAAGTGCAGCTCCAAATCCAGATACTTCACCATGTCATGCAGTTTATCATACTCAGAATTTGCTCCCAGCTAAGAAAGACAAATTGTGAATATTAATTTGAATTTCACGTGTCTGATTTTTTCAAATTCTATGTTCATACCATACAAAAAACATTTAAAGCTCACCTGTCCCCAGATGGTCCCCTCTGAATTTTCCACTTGCTCCCAGCGCAACCTCTTCACACTCATATGGTTGGAGTCCATCCTAGAGAGCGATGGCCTGGGTAACGGTGGAGGGGAGCAGGGTGGGGGCAGGGGTGGAGGTGGTGGTGGTGGCTCCAGGTGCTCTGTTGGGTCGGATAGAGAGTGGGGGAGGGACTGGGGTTGGCCGTGGGAATGCTTGTGTTGGGACTGAGTTTGTGACTGGTGTGCAGACTGCAGCAGGTGATGTGAGGGCTGGGACTGCGGACGGGTGGCCTGGGTGGAGGTCTGGACTTGATGTTGGGATTGGTGGTGCTGTGGCAGAGGCTGGAAAGAGGAGAGGGTGGGTTGGTGTGGCTGGAGGGGTTGAAAGGTGGAGAGAAGGGGCTGAGGTCTGTTGGGCTGCTGGGGAGGGTGGATAACATGAATCTGATGTTGGTAGTCCTGCGGAAGAGGCTGTGGGGTCATATGGTGGATGTGGTGGATTTGAGGCGAGCTGGAGTGGTGGTGGGTCTGCTGGATGGAGTGGGGTCTTTGAGGAGAGGGCTTTGTGGGCTGGGGGTGATGGGTTTGGTGGATCTGCTGCTCTTGGTGTCTCCCTTGCTGTATCTGTTGTTGACCTTTAAGACTTCTTCGACTCTGATGGGAGTGGCCGTCCCGGTTTAGCTGAACTGGGAGGGAGGCCGGTTCAGGTGAGGCTTGATGCAGAAGCTCTGTGGAGGAGTGATGGGCCTTGTGTTGATGTATCTGATGGGTTTGATGGAGCAGCTCCGTGGAGGCGTAGTGGGCCTGAGGTTTATGCATTTGATGGAGCAGCTCCGTGGAAGAATGGTGTGGTTGTCCTCGATGCATCTGGTGAGCTTGATGGAGGAGTTCAGTTGAGGAGTGGTGGGGCTGCATTTGCTGCATCAGATGCGCTTGCTGCAAGAGCTCGGTGGAGGAATGATGGGCCTTGGTTTTGTGCATTTGGTTGAGCATTTCTGACGACGAGTAGTGGGAATGAGCTTGTTGAATCTGCTGGATCATCTCAGCTGACGAGTGGTGGCCCTGGGTCTGTTGCAACTGATGGAGCACCTCAGCAGAGGAATGGTGGACTGGGACTTGGTGCATCTGGTGGAGCATCTCCTCAGAAGAATGGTGGGGCTGGGACCTCATACCCTGATGGCTTTGGTAGATGCCCTCAGCATACTGACCTTGTTGGCTGGGATGAGATGTCGGTTGGGGCGATGGCTGGTGAGGAGACGGGGCTGAACGGGATTGGCGTCGTTGGTGATGACTCTGGTGGGCTTGCTGCTGCTGTGCTTGGCGCATCATCAACAGAGGATGGCTGGGATGGTGGTGGTTGGAGTCCGGGGAAGGGAGCGGGGGTAAGGATTGGTGGAGTTGTTGGAGAGGCGATGGCGAGTGCGCCTTCTGCTGCGTTGGCTGGGTAGGCATCGAATGGTGGCTCTGGTAGATCTGCTGCATCTGCTGCTCTTGATATGCCTGTTGCTCCTCGTAGGCCTGACGCTCCTCATAAGCTTTTCGCTCTTCGTAGGCTTTTTGCTCCTGGTAGGCCTGAAGCTCCTCGAGTGCTTTTTGCTCCTTGTAGGCTTGACGCTGTTCAAATGCTTTTTGTTCCTGGTAGGCTTGGCGCTGTTCATATGCTTGTCTCTTTTGAAAGGCTTGTTGCTCCTGGTACATTTGTTGTTCCTCGAAAGCTTTTTGCTCCTCATATGCCTTCTGCTCTTCATATGCCTGCCTTTCTTTGAAAAGTTTCGCCTGCTGTTCGTGGAAAGCCTGCTGCTCTTGGAATAGTTGTTGTTCTTCAAAGGCTTTCTGCTCCTCATACGCCTGCCTCTCCTTAAATGCTTGTTGCTCCTCATAGGCGTGTCTATCTTGGTAAGCCTGCTGTTCTTGGAAGGCTTTCAGCTCCTGTATGGTAGCGTGGACTTGAAGATCGTCTCTTGCGGGCAACACCTTATGTAAGGAGTGGCGTTTAGGTGGTGGATTACTCCGGGGAGGAGGTGGAGGAGGGGGGCCAGATTTCCGGCGAACTGGCACATATGCTCTCGGGGAATGCTCAGGGGTGTAGCTAGGGTTTATCTGCTGCTGCTGCTGCTGTTGTTGCTGTGCTGTTGCTGTTGCTGTTGCTGTTGCTGTTGCTGTTGCTGTTGCTGTTGCTGTTGCTGTTGCTGTTGCTGCTGTTGCTGTGACTGTGACGGTGCTGGAGGGGGGGGAGGCGGATCATTGAACTGCACAGGTGGGGGTGGTGGAGGGGTCATTGGGGGCGGAGGGATATGGTCGGAGGAAGACGAGTAGGTGAGGGAGGAGGCATTCTCTTCTCCGCTGCTGCTTTGAACGTCACTCGGGCTGCTGAGCTCTGGGGCCACAAATCCTCCATTTTCCTCTTCGTCCACCACCAAGTCCTCTTCATTATCATCATCCTCCTCATCTGGGAAGTCCATCTGCACAATATCCTGGCATTAACACCAAAGATTTAAATTAAGCCACCATTTAGAGTCTTATAAAGATGAATTTAATAACTTTTGGGATATATGCCCATTTTTTTCCCTACACCAAAAGAATTGTCTGTAATTATATCAAGCTACTTGAAGCATAATCTATACTGTTCTAGGATGTTTATAAGTAAAAGAAAGCATGCACAAGAGAAAGAATAATGATTCATAGAGTTGCATGAAAAAATGGCAGAGACACCAGCACCAGCCATTTCAAATTGTCCTCTAGTACTTATTACGTTGACTACAAATACATCAATTAATATGTCAGGAATAGTTATTCATATTTTATCATTGTGGTAAAAAAGGTATTTTTTGCAACACGAATTGCTGGTGTAGTCCTGCTTTGACTCTACCTCCTCATAATCATTCTCAGGGGTCAGGAAGTCATCAACGATAGACACCCTCTGTCCCAGCTGCTCGCTCAGCGCATCCAGAAAGCGATCTGTGTCTTCTGAGCGTGGTGGTTTGGAGAAGGTGTAGCGGCGCTTGCTGCTGCGATGGGTAGGGGGACTAGACGGGTAGTCAGGGGGCTCTGGAGGAGATGGGGGAGGGCTGTCCAGGCTGATGTAAGGGTTCGAATCGCCACTGGTCTGACTTGTCAGACCTGACGAGTAGAACTGGGCTGCAGGGGGGCTTGGGAGGGGCTCCGGCCAGGATGTAGGCAGTGGTGGGCCCTTTCTGCTACCTGAGAAAAGGAAGACATACAGTATACAGTTTTATATTGACAGCCTTATCCCTGTAGCACCATGTGTACAAAAACACAAAGGATATCAATGTCTCTAAAAAGTTGATTAATTAAATTAAAGGTAGTCAGGACTTTTATCATGCACACATATCTATCCACCAAGAAAGAAATCCTTTGCCTGTCATCAACCATGAAATGTTGCTTTTGGCTCCAACAAAAACTTCAATAAACCTGGAAATATTTGCACACTTTCTACAAGCTGTAGGAAATTCCCACAATCACTCACCAGCTAATTCAATCCCAGACAAGAGTGGCAAGACTGAACTACATTTCTCAAATAAAAAAAAAATCATGACTGTGTATGACTTCAAAGCGTTGTGAAAGGTTCAGATTTGAGAAAAAAAGGTTTCAGCATAAGAGGTCCCTAAGATTACTAAGAATTGCAGAAAACACATATTCCTAAACGGAGTGTTTTCTAGTTCCACTTCCACCATCACCATATCCTCCTTCTGTGCTTCAATGTTTCTGGTCTATTTTAGGCTACCTTTAATCTAACATGCAAGTAGTATTAGAGGTACATTTCAAAATAAGGGCTCACTATTATTTACTATTTTATGATGTTTTTATCCCAATAGGTTTATTTATAACTTTCATATTATTTTATGATATACTGTATGTTTTACCTTTTTACTCTCTAAAGCACTTTGGTTGACCTCATGTGTTTTAAATATGCTTTATAAAAGAAAGTTGACTTCACATCTATATGCCAGCAGACCCCTAATAGGTCTACTTTTTTTTCAAAATAAACTTCAACATTCATAAGAGCAAGGCTGAATAGAAGGTTATTTTTGAGACTCTGTGTTGCTGTATATTTCAGTAAAAACACGATTTAAAGACAGAAAAAGACGGTTCAAGGATCGGTTCAATTCAAGGATATTCAGTTGAGGAAGAAATGGGTCTGCTACCTTGGGATTTATAATTTTGCACTGCAGTACTTTTGAAACATGTTACTCTCCCTCTCTTCCATCATTCCACATGCATGCACAGACACGCACACAAACAAACACACACTCACATACACAATTAATAAGCTGAGTAGTTATCTTATACACCTATTACTTTAAGTAAATGTATACTATCAGCTACCTGTGTTAGCATGTATTGAAGGGGAGGATGTGCGCGAGAGGGGCTCCAGATCCAGCAAACTCTCTGGTGCAGGAGGAGGACGACTCTTCAGAGACTTGGACCTCTTGGATGAATACATGTTTTCCAGTTCAGCGTAAACTGCTGACAGCTTGTATGATGGGAATGCAGAAAGAAATCAGAATGAGACCTCTCGCTCTTATAATGATGAAGCCTACTTTTATATGAATGCATCTTTTCTCATGAGGATGGGCCTCGGTACGTACATTGGTGAGGTTGTTGGGAGTTTCCGGAAGGGAAGTACCATCGCCAGACTGTCTCTCTCCTGGTGCCAACCTCATCCCTACCTCCAGCACGGGCTCTGAACGAAGGCCTGTGATGATATACCCATTAGCATGGCTGATACACAACAAAAGATCTTTTTTTCCAGTGGACTAAAAGTTAAAGCACTGGGTCATATATGGTCACTGTATAGGTCCATTTTGAAAGATCTTTTCTTGGGTTTATTTGGGAAAATTATATACTAAAGTTAGCAGAGTTTAAGATTTCTGAGGGCCAGGTATTCACCATTTTCATATGGCCATCTTCCTCTGATGTGCAACCAGGGTGGAAAGCTCAAATGAAGCTAAAAATCTGGAGGGAAATTGGGCAATATTTCAAGTAAAAAAAAAAAAAAATCATATTTGGGAACTGATTAGCTACTGGCTAACATTAGCATTCAATCGCTTCCTAGCAAACAAAACCATTTGATAGCGTGACACAACACATTAGGAAATGCCGGTTAAATGCTGCAGCATTAGCAGGTTAGCTTGCTAACTAGGTAGGCAATGCTAACATGTAGGCCTGCCCAAGCGCGAGGTGTATAATCCCCACTAACACAACCATGAGCAAGAAATTAGGCCTTCCTTCTCGTGTCATATAACACTATCAAATAGAAATGTTGAGGTTAAATTGGTTGTATGCTAATGTTAGAGTACTCTTGTCTTTTTAGGGTTTAATGTCTTCGGTTAGAAAACAAGTTATCGAATATGTTGTTTCATGTTGAAATGTGGCTCAATGTCACTCCAGATTGATTGGAAAGCAGTGAAATCGTAATATTTATTCAGATTGTCTATGTTTAAACCTAAAAGACTGAAGGACAACTCGTTAAAGCAGTAGAGTAGTGTGTAGCAGTGTAGGCCTGAACGCGGTAGGGGCAAATGGCCACTGTGTAAATACCAGTAGTGGGCAGGGTCTGATATTAGCTTTGAAACCAAGCCAGTGAATATCAGCTACATGTGAATATGTTAAACCATTAAGTTTATTAAAACTGGTAGAAAAAGGAGATATAAAAAACTCTTTGTACTATTTAATCCGATGGTGTTCATGATCACAATGAGAGTAATGCAAATTCTTCAGAAATAATATTAATGACGTGATAATGATCAAAGGTGTCATGGCGGTCCTTTTGTTACTGTTTCTACTGATGATGATGATTTTAATGAAGGTCTGTACCCAGGCCCAAGTGTGTTCCAATGACCAGGTCATCAGAGCTACGGCCCCTCACACTGCTCCTGTACGTGGTCCCTGTCACCCTCATGGAGCTGCTACGTCGATGGGGCTCGGGGGCCACCTCAGGCTCTGGAGGAGGGGGAGGAGGAGGTGGTGGTGGTGGTACTGGAACACACACACACACATTGGCAATGCAAAGGTGCATATGAAGGGCGGCAACACCCTGTTTAATTTAGATCCCCATGACAGCTTTCATCTAATACACAAACCACTTTGCACCCACACACGAGCACCTCAGAAGACACATGCACCAAAATGATAAAAAATAAATAAATTAAAAAAAAGACAAAGGACAAACGCATGCACACACCTGGCGCTTTAAATCCAAGGAAGCGTGAGATCTTGCTCTGGCAGTGTTCCTGCTCCTCATACGTCAGCAGCTGGTAAACAAACTGCCAGATCACCTGTTTGGCTGGAGTGTCAAGCACCGGGAACACATCCACGATGAGAGTGTCCACATTCCTGTGGCCACAGAAACACAGGTGAGGTGAGGTGACAGACATCGCCCGGCTGTCCAAAAAGAGGGTCAGAGTTGTGTTCGGGAAACTTCATACCAAATGGTTCTATCATTTAATTTCACACAACACATGAAACTTATTCTTGAGCCTTTAAAACTTGAAAACATTGTGTCGTATTTTCATTGGCTCTGAGGGGAACCAAAGATAAACCCTGACCATGTCATCAAGGTTATCACTGTTTAAGCTTTAGTCTATAATTGTTGAACAAAAAGTGATGTGACTACGTCCAGGGAGGGACTTATCAAATGATGCTAAAAAAAATTAGATTTTTATTATTTAGGCTGAGTTTTAGAATTGACACATTACTCTTTTTTGTTTCTTTGGTCTGTCTCGTGTAAGTCCCCAAACTACAAACTGAATCACTGAAGTTATTCTTTTGTTTTGATCTGAAATGTAGAAATATGTTTCACTGGCTCATGCCTAAAACTTTTATTTTATATTCCCAAACAGACAATTTTGTTCTCTGATTCATGACCTACATTGAATTCCCTCATCTTAATATATTTAAATTACAAAAATGTGCTCTTCACATTACATTACAACGTTTATGGGAAATTTGCTACTAATCCTAGAAAACCTAGAAAAAGGAGGTAGTTATACACACATCATGTAGGTGGTGTGTGTATAACTATGTCTTTTGTGGGTCTAGAACCACATCATTTCACATCCATCCTCTGACTCCCTCTATCTCTTTTCATGGCCCAAACTTTCCCCGACTCTTCCCTCACCTGTGCTGGAAGAAGTTCTCCAGAGCCTTGCAGATGGTGTACCTCTCCTGGATGGTCAGCAGGTGCTGCAGCTGCTGTCCGAAGGTGCGGCCCTGAACACGGATGCTCGGGGGCAGGATCTCTGCCACCCACTGCAGGGAGCTGAGCACAGGGGAGCGGGCGCATTCTGTGGGAACGCCACCCCCCGCGAGGTCCTGCTCTGACATGGTGAAAGAGGGCGGACCATCCTCCACCACCAGAGTGGGCATGGCACCACTGCCCTGGAGCATGGACACCACCTTCTCATGAGAGGAGGTCCTGCAGGGACACACACGGAGACACAAACACACACTGCCTTTGTCTTTTTTCTGAAGAACATTTATATTGATTATGTTGTAATTAATAGTTTTACCTAACTGGTATGTAAATAATGAACAACTCATGAAAAGCTTCTTTTACTTGGCAGAGAATGTAATATAATATCTCTTAAATATTCCCTGGGGAGCTTCCTTGTCATTGCTTATCTTTTAACTTCAGCCATTTTCAAGTGGCTGATCAAGGTCTTAAACCGTAAAGTTGCCAACTAATGTTTTCTTCTAATTTAAATATTGTGTATTCGTTTGCTTGCAGTTGTTGAGGAAGCTATTTTTTTTGGTCATATTTATGTGAGATTGGGGCGCCCGTAGCCAAGTGGCTAGTGTGTGCGCCCCTTGTACGAAGGCGATGGTCCTCCAAGACGGCAGCCTGATTCAAATCAAACCTGTGGCTACTTTCCAGCATGTCATTCCCCACTCGTATTCTCCCTGATTTCAGACTATATCCACTGTCCAATCTCTAAATAAAGGCAAAAAAAGCCCCAAAAATAAACCAATGAGAAACTTGTTTTTATGTGAGATGAAGTTTCACTCCCTTTAATAACAACAACTAACCACCTAAAGCAAGGGCACCTTCTTTGTGTATTTATATTGACTTTAAATAAAAAAAGATTTCATGATGACCCTGAGTATATTAATAAACATAAACAAATGATGTGTTTTGTTAGTTTATATGGGTAAGAGCTCAACCTCATGTCCAGCCCATTGAGAAACAGGATGCGGTCTCCTGGTTTCAGACCGGCCTTGTCTGCTGGACTTCCTGCGGAACAGAAAACAGAAGAAGAGACGGAGACATTTCATTTGATTATTTTCTCATTTAAAGAGCCGAACATTAGAGACATACGATGCTCTGTAGAGATTTCATTAACTGTTTTCACTCTGAAAGTGTTGTGCTTAAACTACTCATACGTGACAACTGCTTAATCATTCACACACAGCCAGCATGTGCTTACATAACAACTACATAAACTTACACTCACAACCCCTTACTTTAACCTTTACCACGGAGCCAAAAATCTGCTTGTTTTCTAATTTGGAACACAACTTTTCTTCATTAAAGGCTGCATCAGACAAATACTCCCAATAATCTTTGTGCACAGACATGTTTAACTTACCGGGGATGACAGAGTCAATCCACACAGGAGCGTGTCCTCTGAGGGTGAAGCCAAAGCTCATGTTGCCCTTACATACTCTCACTGTCCTAAAGAGACAAATGTGAACTTTGATTAAATACAGGACTTGTTGAAAACCAGAGGCCTTAAAAAAAGAATAAGAAAATCAAATAAAAATACTCCTATTCCTTAATGAATCCATGTGTTAAATGTGTTAATCTTTAAAAAATATACATTATACTTAATAGAGGGCTCACCACTGAAACACTGATGGACTTTATATATGTTATTGAGTGGTTATAAATTATGTATAAAGTTATTATGAGGATATTGAATTTTGTGTTGAATCTTCTTTCCTTACTTATCTTTCCAGTATATTCCAGACAAATGTATTATTATTATTTTTTTTACAAATAGCTTGTCCCGCCTTCTTTTAATTGCCCAATACACAGGTCACTGTTGTACTTAGCCAGATAAATTGAAAAGGGTCTTTTAATCTGCAGACTGTAAACGGCTTAGTCTGAGTTTTAGAAGCCCTGGTAGCAGGAACAGATTCAGTGTCGTTTCTGATGGCCTGGCTTGTTTTGTAACTCATGAGGAGGCTTCACTATTAAAGTGAGTGCTGCTCATAAACCGTTGAATATTCTTCACAGAGAGTTGAAGTCAGGTCAGGATCATTTCATTATCAACTGCAGCTCGTTGCACAGTTTAGTGGCTGTGATCTGTTCAAAAGGTTATCTGTAAAGAGGAAGGTAACAATGCGATGAGACTGTTGAATTCTCCTTCTCGTCCTGGAGAGAATCCTACTGCAAACTTCCTGCACATTTCTGTATTCAGCACTCTGCTTTAAATTCACATCCTGCATTAACAGCCCTGCTTAAATATGGACAGTGCATCCCAAGAGAGTCCTCGTAAGGCAGAGCCATCGAGGAGACAAGAAGTCTCTTGGGGCAAATTATCACAACCATTTGACGAGATGGTGACGGGACGTTTGTAATCATACGGGACGTTTGTTTCTTGGGTGTCTTTTAATTTGGTTCAGTATGATCATGATGGTTTTTTTTGGTATCTCAGCACAGAAGAATAACTGTTATCATTTCCTAAAGACATGACAGATGACAACATGACAACACATGAAAGGAGCAGAAGAGCAAGCATGACGGTTCTAAATAACTTTATGTTCTTCCCTTTGGCTTTCCCGCTGAAGGGCCTATTTATCCACTTAGCTCCTACTCAGCTTGAGCTCACATAAATTCCACTGCCTACACAGGAAGATCTGTCACAGCACTTCTCAAAAAAATGTCTCCAGACGAAACGAGGGAGAAGATGTTATTTTAGGGAAGGGTATTCTTTGAAAACTAAATCTGACACGCTGAGTGTACCTGATGGGAAATAAAAGTTAAGGACGAAGCGGTCAGGAGCTAAAATGACGGGATGAGAGCAGAAAATCCTGTGACACTGGCTTTTACTGCTTGCAGTTTAACACTATTACATTTAAAAAAGGCCATAAATTATAAGTTACATGACTAACAGTAAAATGGGATTACAATTACAAAAAAACAACAACAAATGCAGCCAAAAAAAGTAAGAAAAGAAAAGTGATAAAAGAACAAAAGCGAAGTAAAAAGAAAGTCATGGGGCGCAGATGGCCTAGCGGTATGGTCGGGCCCCATGTAAGAAGGCAAAAGTCCTTTAAGCGGGAGGCCTGGGTTCAAATCCAACCTGTGGCACCTTTCCAACTCTCTTTCCAGATTTTCTACTCTAACCACTGTCCTATCAAATAAAAGCAAAATACCCAAAAAGACATCTTTAAAAAGATATAGATAGTGATAAATAGTTATAACAATCAGTGAGAAAATACAAAATGTAATGGAGACAAGACATAAATAAGAGAATAAGTTATTGATTGTGATTTTAAAATACTAATTTTTATCTGGAGAATGGCTGTATTTATTATTAAAGGGACAACACGTTTACATTCTGCAGGTTAACACTTCATACACACCTGCAGTTGGTGCTGTTGCCGCTGGAGTGCCCAGCTATGAGTGAGGTGGTCTTGCGCATGCCGCGTGCTGGTGGGGCCCCTCCTTCCTCTGCGTGGGTGCGTGGCACTGAACTGGCACGGGTGGAGACGAGGAGGCGCTCGGGGTGGTCCTCGCTCCTGCTGCGGCGGAGGTGGCTACGGCTAGGGTCGCTGAAGCTCCGCCCTTTGATCCTGCTCATCAGGCTCTGGGAAACCACCTCGTCAAAACGTTCCCGGTGCTTCTTGGGAATGAAGATCCTGGCAAACATTGTGGAATCAAGAGACAAATTTAAAACCGACAAGAGGACACTCAGGAGGGATGCAGAGGAGGAGAGAGAGAAATTAGGCACCCAGTTCCAATCCAGTTACTGAGAAGACCGAGCGTATTTCTCCACATCAGAGCTATACACAAAAGCTTTACTGAAAACCAAACAACAAAATCACATGAGCTCAAATCCAGACAAAATCCAAAATTCCTCTTTCTAATCTCTCAAAGCTTGCATAGTCCAAAGTATCCCTAAAAAAAACAGAGGGATTCTTGTTCTGTGTTTTGTTCCAGCTCCTGGTGCAGCTCCACTTAATTGGTTCAAAAATAGTTCTGTCCATGTCGTCTCATGGGAGGGCCGAGGCAGGTAGAAGGGATCCAGCGTAAGTTTGTGTGTGTGTGTATGTAATTGAGTGTGATCCAGGGAATGACAGAGGAAAAGAGGTGAGCGTTGTATGTGCGGTCCTGTCACATTCACAGCTGCAGGTACGAGTGTTCAGCATCAGTGACAGCTCACAGCTAATATGCGGGAAGAAAAAGGAGAAAGAGCCACCTCTGGGAGAAAATGCTCCACTCCCCCTTCTAGCTTTATCCCCCCCTCCCATAATCAACTACCAATGCCTTTTTCTCCTTAAAGGAGAAACCCTTCCTCCTAGATATCAGTTTGTGGTATTGCACGAGTTCCAGGGGTTGTTTAGTGAACAATGAGCACCCACTTTCCAGATCCGTTTTGAACATTTTGTGATAAAATAAGAAGATTGGAGGGAGAACATTTAGTGTCAACTACAAAATCAAATTCTGCATCAAATGTATAAAGAAAGTCTTGTATTAGAGAAGTAGTCTGAAGCTTATTGCAGAATTAACATCACAGCCTTTTCTGTGCAACATTTTTCTCCCTGCAACATCAACTTCAGCACACCGATATAAAGACAGCAGCACTTTTTTTAGTTTGCACTCAAAGCTGACATCGATCTTTTGATGTTTTAGATTCCTTGAGATGTCTACTGTAATTAAACTCTCCTGTAGACGTGCAGACTGCTGCATAGGGTTTATATTTGTCCAATTATCTGCAAGAAGAGAATTGCATAACATAGGAACAGAAATGACCCAGTAATAGAAGGAAACATGGCCAATAATTGTGTTTAAAGTGATTAATGGTGCCCTGTTCCATTGAATATATAGGCCATCTTCCATGCTTTTCTTTCTCTTTTATCTGTGTTTCTGCATCCAAAAGCAAACCACCAGCTCACACCCGTCTAAAAACCACTTCTTTCTTTTTTCTCTTTTGCATATCTTCCGCTCCATCCTGCCTGAAAAAACATAGCTTGCTCCATCCTCAACACAAGCCTCTCTCAATCTCTGTCTGCAACATAATTCTCCAGGGTGTTTCCACTGTGCAGAGCAGAAAAACACTGCTTTTGTTTTTCCAAGCGCACCAGCTTCGATGTGCATCCTTATACACAGCACAACTGCTTACTCAAACACTGCGGGTGAGGATAAGGCTTAGATGTGTGGCGTCACAGTCCCTTTGCAGGTACATTTGGGAACATTGTTAGGAAGCAACGCTTGGATGATTCTATGTCTGGTTGTTTCACAAAAAACTAAGAGTGAGCATTGGGTTTGAATTAAGAGCTGAGCTGCATCCATATCTATATTTGACTATCAAGTTAAGGGATGCTAACAGATACAGTACTATGCAAAAGTCTTAGGTTTGTGGTTTAAACAAATGTCTAGTTATTACTCAGTCTTTTTAATAAAACACATCTTCAAGAAATACAGGAAATGTGTACACAAAAAAAACCATGACAGGCAAAAGTCAGGTCGTAGTGTGACCTTTGTGTTCTTCAGTAATCCTCTGTTATGTTATACCAAGCTTCCTTCATCATTATTAGAGTTCTTCTTCAGATTCAGGCTGTCGTTTATTTCTTCCTCTGTCCTACTGATCCCACGCCGCCTCTATGATATTCGATCTGGACTCTGTGGAGGCCAGTCGATAACTCTCAGTGTCTTATCATCTGTTTTTCCTCTCCAAATATGATTTCACTGCTCTAACCGTGTACTTGGGATTGTTTTAATGCTGAAAAATAAATCAATTCACATTAAGGTGCGTTCCAGAAGGAATGTCATGTTGAATTACAATAACATTGCTATAACAACACATCTTATGGTGGCCTAAGACTTATGTATAATACTGCAATATTTCATCTGGGGATTTATGACCTAGATGGAAATCTGAACCCAAAAACTTTTTTTAAGCAAAAGCAAATACACCAAAACCCATGACAGGAACCACATGTCCAAGATACACATTGAGCCAACAAAGCCTGAGACCATTTGCAAAGCTAACCTGTGCATAGTAGTGTCAACAGCAAAGAGCAATCATTGAAATCTTTTGAAGTTGGTTCGGTTATTGAACTGGTTTGTAATCTAAATATCAGGCTGTAACAATGGCCTGTCACTTATGCTTTGTGTTCCAGGAGTCAAGAGGTTTGGTCCAGTTACAGCACAACACACTTGAATCTCATTACGGCAGTATATTGCACGTGTTATTGTACTGGACCAAACAGTATAAAGTCTGCAGCATTAGCAGTGTGCCTCCTGCTCGCTCCCCGGTGGCCCACTCCAATCACAGACACATTATGGGAATCCTGAGTTAACTGCTGATTCACAGCACACACAGCATGTTTTTGTTTGTTTGACACTTGATTATTGCTTCCTTCACTGGCAGCTTCTCGTAATATTTAAAAAATAAGATGTTTAACCGCTGTTTGACTGTTGGACCTTATTACCACCATGATGGAGATAATGATTTACAGCAAAACAGCAGATTTCTCTGAACTTGGAGGATCTCAGTCAAAGAGTGGTTGTGTCTTATTTTATTATAAAAAAATAGGCATTTTCGTTTTTTAGGCATTTTCCTTAAGGTGCAGAGATTGTTGAAAATGTGTCCCTTCAGTCCAACCAATCAAGTAGAAAAATGTGCATGTGAGTTTGTTGAAAAAGGTAAAAAGGTGAATCTGTGTTAAACTGTTAGAACATCCCAGGCCACTAAGATTTGTCATCATCATCAGGACAAGGACTTCTATAGATAACATTTTAATCTGCCTAATATGAAAGCATCCTTATTAATGAAGGTGAAGGGAAAGAGTGTACTGTATGTAGGTGACAGTGATTAAGTGCAGGATCTCTTTATGCAGCCAAAAAGTCAACACTTCCCCCAAGGGCTGCAATGTGCTCATCTCTGAAGCCAGGCTGCTCTGAACAGCTATCTTGAGATGTTGTTTTGTACAGAAAGAGGAGCTATGATGACGATAGTTGGAGACTTAACATGACAACAGCATGAAGAAGAAAGAAATCCGTCTGAGCTCAGTCAACTTTGCTGACGGGGAGGCAGAGCGAGTGGCAGAGGAAGAAAGAGAAACAAGTCGGTTAAAGACAAACTGACAAGCTGTCAGAAGTGAAGAATTGACGTGAAGCAAAAGCCTAAAAAAGAAGTAAGTCAGATAGGTTGACAAAAGAAGTAACATATGACTACACTAAAACTGGAGAGAAAGTGGAGAACTGGAGCTCTTTCTAGGCCAGGGTCATGTAACTATTGGGAATGAAGCAGTTTAGTCTGCACTCACAGGCTATGTAGGCCACAGAACTTTCCCTCACAACTCTCATACATCACAGTGGCTGCTCATACAAACAGTAAAGTGGGAAAACTATACAGAATGGGGGCATTTATGACAGTCCCAAGGCATGGCCTTCAGGGATGCAACATGCATCGGTTGAATGTCGTTATAGTCACATATCTGCCCTGTCGACAAACATTGCCCCGTCTGCAGATAATGTGGCATGCACCGATGTCAGTGTATTTTTTGTGTCCAAACCATTCAATGTTGGCATTTACAGTAGTTTACCTTTTATTTTATGGGGAAGAAGAAGTCACCCGTTGGACAAGCTCTAATTTGACTTTATGGTCAAAAATGAATGAAAACATAAGCAGTGTGGGAGTCTTATACAGTGACATGCTTGTACGACATGTTCCAGTGATATTTCAAGAGGAAGGACTGCTTACAACAGACTCAATACATCAAATGTCAGTAGCCATTTGAAAAACAGTTATGAAGAATTACGAAGATGTAATGAAAAAAAACATGGGTATAGGAATCGGCAATCTGCTAAGTCCGCAATCAGTGCATCTCTACAGGTTATTTATTTCATTCTAATAACTACAGCTTAATAATTATCATCCAAAATCTTCCTAATATGTTGAGGTCTTAATCAAAGAATTCTTCTCTTGGGGCGTTGATGGTCTAGCAGATAGGTCACACCCGATGGACATAGGCTGGAGTCCTCCAACCAGACAGCCTAGGTCTAAGTCTCCTTTCCCAAATGTCATTCCCAACTCTCTCATCCGATTTCCTACTCTATCCACTCTCCGATATAAATTAAGGCAAAAAGCCAAAAAGTAAATCTTAGGAGGAGAAGCAATGTTTCCCTTGTCAAATCTCGTCACCTGGTGTGAAGAAACTTCACAGCTTTCCTACACTGAAGTTGGATATAGGCCTCAGGACGCCCTCAATTATAATGAGGGCGAAAGGAGTCTATTATTAGGTCTAAAGGAGGGGTGGATCAAGGACGCAGCTCACAGAGGGATGAATGACAATTGCAATCAGCTGGGAAACTCATCGCAAGAACAATTATTAACAGACCCACTTCTGATCAGTCAGTCTGACAGCTGGGACAGTTATGAATATGCAAACAGGAAGCAGAGTGTACGGGTACAAATCAGAGTGGAAATAAAAGCTTCAGCAGCCACAGCATGACAAGAAAGAACATCAGTAGAAGCAGTAAAATAATTAAAGTTTCCAAAGCTAGAATAAACTTTAGGGAGAGCAGAGTTTTTTTTGTTTGGCATGTTAACAAAAAATGTAAAAAAAAAACAAAAAAAAACTTACCAAACACAGAAAGCAGCCGCACAATAAATCAGCAACTTCAGATACAA